TGGACCACCACCTGCTCAGATGCTGCTCATGAGCCAGGCACAGCTCTGTGGCCGCCCTGCCCCGGCGCCAGCTGACGCCTGTGTGGTTCCCACGCAGGCTCTGGTTGCCCTGATGGAGATGGGCTTCGGGGAGAAGGAAGTGATGGATGCCCTGCGCGTGAACAACAACCAGCAGAACGACGCAGTGAGTGCACCCCCAGCCCCCCCACATGCATACGCATGTCTCTGCACATACACTCGGGCGGGTGCGGGGAGGGAGGCCGGCGGTCAGAGCACGGCGCCTGCCTGAGCAGGTTCAGGGTTTTGTCTTCCTCAGACGCAGCAGGCCCCTGCCCACATCCTATGTGCACGGCCCGCGTGGCCCCAACTGAGTGGCACCTGCTCGCTGAGCACACACTGGCTTCTGAGGGGCAGGCTGCTGGCCTTAGCGGTGGGCTCGCAGCTGGGCCACTCAGACGCCAGATCTGTCTTGGGGCTCCCACGCTGCCCAGGACTGTCTCACACTCCCCGTGCTTCGAGGGGCGGGGGCTCACCCTGCCCAGGTGTGGTGGTGCCAGCTCTGTTGAGGGAGTCAGCTCAGGCATGTCCGGAGGTCTGTGTACCTGTTGAGCAGCCAAGTGGGGCCGGGGTTCACGGAGCTACCAGCAGCCAAGTTGGGGCAGGGGAAGCTCTGCAGCCAAGGGGGGCAGGGGTCCATGTACCTGCCCATGTGCTGAGGGGACCTGAGAGGTCTGCATGGAGAAGTCCCAGGGGCCGGCAGTAATCACCTTTTGTTCACAGTGTGAGTGGCTACTGGGAGACCGGAAGCCATCCCCCGAGGAGCTGGACAAAGGCATGGACCCTGAGAGCCCCCTGTTCCAAGCCATCCTGGACAACCCTGTGGTGCAGCTGGGGCTGACCAACCCAAAGACACTGCTGGGTATGTGTGAGCTGGGCCCAGGGGGAGAGGGGGTCATTTCCTGGGGGAGACTGGTGCCGGGTCCTGCCCTGTGTGACAGCCACCTGACCAGGCCCCTGCACGGACGCCATCCAAGGGTAGTGGGAGGTGTGCCTGTTATGGGGCTCCTCTGACATGGGCTCTTGCTGGCCAGGAGGTCCCCTTCAGCAGGGCCTGAAGTTCACCCCCTTCTCTTCCCTCACTCCCTCCTGTGAGTCCCCCCCCCACCCCTGGAGATGACAGTACCACCCTGCAGTGTCCTGGGCTGTCAGTCTCCTGGCCTTTCTCCCGTGGGATGCAGATGGCTCCTGAGCTGAGCCCAGCCTGTGTCCGGTTACAGTCACTGCCCCACGCCTCACACCCGGGCTGGACAGGTGGCTCGGCTTCTGAGATTGGTGGGGGCTGTGTTCTGGAGCCACGCGGGCAGCTGGCAGGACGGTGTGTGTGGCCAGTGCTCAGCCGCCTGCTCTACCGGCAGCGTTCGAGGACATGCTGGAGAACCCGCTCAACAGCACGCAGTGGATGAATGACCCCGAGACGGGCCCCGTGCTGCTGCAGATCTCACGCATCTTCCAGACCCTGAACCGCTCGTAGCTGCTGCCACCGCCGCCCTGCCAGGGGCTCCAGCTGGCCAGCAGGGCACCGGTGCCTTCTGCCTCGCCCGACGGGGCTTTTGCACCTGCTTTTAATTCTGCTCCATACCGGCCTGTCATGGAGTGGGCACGTTGCCTGGGCACCCGGCCCTGTTGGCAGGGGGCTGCTGTCCACGGGGAAGGGGGAGGGGGCTTTGGGAGCCACCCTGGTCCCCACTGTAGGGACCGGTCCTTGTGTTTGGAAGGAGGCATGTCTCAGCGAAGTGTTCTTCCAGCAGACGTGTTCAGTGGGTGGGCGGGGGCTGTTTCAAAGCTGGTTTTCTGTATTAAACACCCTTTTCCTACTCCGTCTCTTGTCTTTCTGGCACCAGGGAAAAGGTACAGGCTTCATGTTATTGTGACAGTGCCAGTCCCTCCACCAGTGAGTGACCACTTGAAAAACAGACCAACATGCACCCGTCCATACTCCAGCCTTGCATCACAGGGAAGTACGCACGTCCATCCACAGTCCCCACCTGAGTCACAGGGAAATACACACGTCTATCCTCAGTCCCCACCTGAGTCACAGGGAAATACATACGTCCATCCTCAGTCCCTACCCAAGTCACAGGGAAATACACACGTCCA